AGGGTGAATGTGTCACGTAGTGTACAAGCGCTTTGAGTGGTCGGAAGACTAGAAAGGCGCTATACAAGTACAGCTCCATTTACCATGTGGGACGTCTGGTCACCCTACCTCCAGCCCACTAACTGTCTGTACAAGGAATAACAGTCTCTCCAGTCACGCCCTGAGGAACACCCAGCGAGGGTCAAAATCAGTTGACGTTTGTACTCTAAACAAGCCCTACGAACTAATAAGACATTTTAACTAAATCCTTGGCTTGTGTGAGTGTGCCTGATGTAAGTCTTCTCCTTTTTCTCTACAGCAGAGCAGCTCTGCTTTAAAAGGACCAGTGTGTAGGATTTAGTGGCATCTAGAGATGAAGTTTCAGCAACTAACTGAATGTCGCTGGGAATGAAACTGTAAAGTGTGTGGGAGGAACTAAGGTTGCGCAATATGGAAAAAAAAAAAGTAATTGTGATTAATTTGACAGATATTATTATGTTATATGATTCACAATTAGTCACAACTTTCATTTTCACTGTAAAAAATACTAAAATCACAATAATGTCTGTAGATTTCTTCAGAGCTACAGTGCTTCATTATAAAGCTGCTGTTACAAATGTTAACTTGGTCAAACAGTTGCAGATTCTTGTGATTGCGATTAATTGTGCAGCCGTAGGAGAAACTAAAGTGGTCGCAAAACTTTCAGGTGATTATACACTAATGAAAACATATGTCTGAATATTATATTACATTTCTGCCAATAGATCCTCCTGAATGTTAAACACTGGACTTTTAAGAAAATATAACCAACGTTTTGAGTTTCTTTTAATAGTTGCCTGGATTTTATACCGTATGCTGAAGTATTTAGTCTCCTCATCGCCAGTGTGAGCTAAATAATTAAATTCAGCTGCAGTTTTTGAACCGGCTGCATCGTCTGTAGTCATTCAGTCTCTTTCTGTTGCGTTAGTACCCAGAAGGCTCATTGTCTCCGTCCCTGTGCGAGAGCTTCCCGACAGGCATCTTGTAATTTTTAGTAACATCGGACAGTTTGATGAGCACAGACTGACATCATCCAGCACCATGTGATTACCAGCACACTTCCTCTTTCTTGCACTTTAAATGTGTGTATACTCTGTAATACTGTGTGTGTGTGTGTGTCAGAGCTGGTCAGGTAACTCAGATTCCTGATTTCTAGCCGGCCCTTTTCAGCGACGGATCGTTGTTGTGTTACAGCAGGACGTCTAATCAGATGATCGTAATCTCCTGACCTGCAACAGCATGACTCAATTCAGATATTTCCACCAGCCAAACCAGTGGCACAACAGACTGCGTGTGCTCAATTTACTGAGACATTTGAGGCATTCAGTCCCAATTCCCAAACACATTACATCCCAAATCACTATAATAAGAAACAGAAGGAGGATTGTGGGTAACAGCAAAACCACAAAGACACAATCACAGTTCACATTCAGCATTTTGTTCCACAAACAGATTAATGGCTCAGAAAATGCCTGTTCTGAAAAACACTTCATTTTCAGATTAATGTCTCTAAAATAGGGTTTGGGCTCGATCTGACGAGATCTACCACAAAACAATATACATTTGCTAACAATGCTAATGGTTCTGATTGATTAATTGCAAGAACTATTACCATGATGGAGGATCTGATGGCCTTCACAGTTGCACACTAATGTGACATCTTAGTCTCGGCTGGGCTTTTAATCAAACACCACAGGGCTGCAACTAAAGCAATATCAGCAATATCAACAAATTGTTTAATCTTTTAGCCCATAAAATGTTCGAAAATTAGTCTCCACAAGTTCCCTGAGATAAAAAGGTGATGTCTTCCAATTGCTAACGATATCTGAACAACAGTAAAGGCGTCAGGATGCATCTTCAAAACCTTTCTGATGTCAGATTAACTGGAATTAACTGGAAGTGATTTGTTTGTCACATTAACAGAGACTCTAATCTGCAGTGTGGTTCAAACAGTTTACTGATAAATCACAGATGGG